AATTGACGAGTATACCATGTTGCGCCCTATCCGTTGCACCTATGCATTTGGGAAAACTCTTCGATAGATGATATTCTAGACGTACGTCTACGTCCAGAATGCATATGGTTCAACTTTAGTTGGCAACAAATTATTTAGGAAGCTATTTTCCAAAAATCAACCGTGTATTAAGGAGTGCATAAGGTGTGTAGTGGAAAATCTCTATGTACAGTCATTGTGACTACATGCTCACATGAAAAAACTCTCAAACTGAAATCATCTATATGTACAGGTGTTATTAGACAAGTCGACGATATACTCGATATTACGTCCACATATCTTAGAGAAAGCGCAACTAATATAATGGTTTCTCTCATACCATTCTTGCCATCTCTGTGTCTTGAAAAGTTTATCTTCCTGAGTTAGGATTAGCACATTTGTGTGATTCTATGATTCCACACGTCGATCATGAAATCACTGTTGCAACTTGTTACGAATGTGCTCAATCATAGTGAGAATGGCAACCCTCAATCCTTCTTGAATAATATATTAAGTGACTCTACATTGTTTAACGTCATCATGTTGTATTGATTTTCTAGAAAATATGATTATGCCCAATGTTCAATCCCCACCTTCACTGTTAGATAATCTCATGCATTATGTGATTTATCTTCGATTTCAATTATGAACATATTAAACACTTCAAAACTGTAAGCATCTATAGCTTTCTTAAACAATGCAACAATGTCTCTCCCCCAGTACTTAGTCTTTAGGTTTCTTTGTATATAGTACATGTAATACCAACGATGTACCTCGAAAAAACTTTAACGATACCATTTATTATAAACTGTCACCAATCAATTACGAAGGCAAGATTTTAAATGTTCCTAATTGCTTCCCTCAGTTTTGTGCAGAACCAACACATCAATAGATTATTCTCGCTATTGACTATACCAAATTTAAGAGGATAAATTTGGATGTTGACATTTTCATATGTAGCAATAATTAACTTGACTTCTTATCTAATTTTTAGGATTATAACATCGACTAGAATTACGGGTGACATCACATTTCGAAATCACCAAATGCATTGTTCAAGAGTTATAAAGAAATACTTGAAGTGATTCTTGCCTCTGGCTCTCCCCATCTTATGGCAATACTTGACCAACTTAGCATAACTCTCTTTAGTCGAACCCATTAAATTCTCTAACGTATATTCTTTAGCCTTCCAATCCTTTTGATAGTTCATGACCACCATGTCCTCTCGAGGAAGTTGTTAATGATGTCTAAGGTCTATATATTGTCCGTGGGGTCCTGCAACTTGTGCATTATTAGTCGATCAATAAATTATTCTTGGGTTTGCATGTGATCATTTCAAAGAAATTCCACTTCACAAGTATGTTCCTGTGCATACTTGCGAACTATAAAGAACACATTCGTGTACATTTTCATCTCTCGCAAATGCTAATTGCAACTGTCATCTACGTATATAATTGTGTATGTAGACTACTTGATTTATTCAATTTAAACTCAAAATTATGTTTCAACGCAATTGGTTGTATAGCTTCTTGCAAATTTATTATTATTATTATTATTTTTTGTATTAAACAATTGCTTGATATGAAAATCTTTGCCTTGGGAACCACACATGAAGAATTAGAAGACCATGTATTTGGCCTGGCTTGTGAGTTCTCACCCCCACACGTCTCTAACGAAACAAATTAATGAAATCCTGATTTGTAAATGGATTTTCATCCTTATTATCTCGAACTACCTCGTGAAATCTATTTGTAACAATTGGATTATGGTGACTAGCAACTATTTCGAGAATATTCACATTATCCTATGAGCTATCTCCGATGTATCCTGAAAATCATTCATAATATGATCCTCTCAATCTGGATCTTTATGTTCACCTTCGGGGATATTATTCCTCATTAAAGTTTGCCAATACGAGCCATCATGCTAATTTTGTTCAATTCAATTAGCAACTTCATTTGTACTTTATAAGTAACTTTACCAGTGGCATTGGAATGGTTGTATACTCGTTGAATAGAAATTTCAATTCCATATTGCCACGCGTTTTATGCAATGTGGTTTAACCACAAGTGTATGGTGTCAAATTTTGTAATATACTCATGGAATTGAAGTGTCGAATCCACAGGGATTGATGTTTGATTCCTATCGAATACTATAATTATTTTAACTTCTACTTTATTCAGAAAACCAACTTTTGACTTGAAGTGTTCATGCTAAATTAATATGTTGTGGATTCAATGGCAATTCAAACAACTTAAGATGAAATATATAAAAATAATCAATGCAAAAAATTTTAGAGAATGATTTCTCCGACTTATTAACAATGTTTTTCAATCTCTATGGTTATTTCTCTCAAATCTTCTCAATTTATAGGCAAGAACTGTAAATTAATCCCGTTCCCTCTCTCGAGTGCCAAATAGAATTTATTTCTATACTCTAACCTCAATATCTCTATTTCAGATTAGATCTATAAAAGTTATTAAATCCTTGGTTCTTGATTTGAATTAAGCCTCGAAGAATTTGTACTTTTTCTCGAAATCTAAGTTATGTTATTCGTAGATCAAGATTAAATCTCCATTTCTCGAGTGTCAAAATTCAGTACATCAAATCATTCGACCATTGATTAGGTGATTGAAAGCAATAAGTGCGAATAACATAAATAAATGCTGAAAAATTAGAGAAATACTATATCAACATCCAAACATTGTATCAAGTTGTGTTACATCAACCCTAGATCTAAGGTCTTAGTTCATAATTGATAAAAATAACAATTTAAAATATAGAATAATGAGCATGGAGAAGAACAGATTAGGAAAAACTCAGTTGATACTTCAAATCTTCTCCCAATGGTTGTAGTAGATCTTCCTTTTTGAATAGCTTTTTCTCTTATTTTTGCCTTGAGTTTTTTTTTTTTTTTTTTTTTTCAAATTTTTATTTTTTCTCTTTTTTTTTCTTTTTGTTTTTTTTTTTTTTTTTTTTTTTTTTGCCATGAGTCGTTTTTCCAATGCCAAGAGTCCTCCATTTGGTCTTCTTCGTGGTATTTATACTTTCCAAAAGTTCCAAGACGAGAAGGATTGGATCTGGACCAAGAAAAATGCGATTTTCCTTTTTTTTTTTTTTTTTTTGCGTCGGGTGCCGCAGCTCCCAATGTTGGCGCCGTGACATTTCCTCCTGCTGGCGTTGTAGCACCCGAGTATGGCTCCGTGGTGCCAGCCTCTCTGTTGGCTTATGTGTGATGGGTGTCATAGTACTCGGGATATGGCGTTGCGGCACCAGCACCTCTGCTGGCTGTTTCTTCGTTACTTGGGCATTGTGGCACCCACATTCGGTGCTGTGGCATTGGATAGACTGCCCCCTATTTGGATTTTTCAACTTCAACATCGCGTTTCCACTTCAATTTTTCTTTTCTTATCTCCAATTTTACGATTACCATTTTAGCTCCATTATAAGCTTTAGAGTGTGGTGTTTTCCCAAAAGTTGTCTAAGCTGCAAAACAACATGAAAACCCACATCAAAACGTTCAAAAGTGCTCAACTACAACCCGAAAACTAAGATTTAAAGGTGCTAAATTGATGATTGAATTGCACTCATCAAACACCCCCAAACTTAGTTCTTTGCTTGTCCTTGAGCAAACATAAAATACGTACCAAGATGGTTAACCCAAAACACAATAACTGCACCCCATCACACAAGACATGAAATTCAGAAACCACCTGGATATATTATTCTTTTATGGATTAGCGTTGAAAATACGATATAGAATTCATGAACCATTTCAAAGTTATAGTGCAATGGCCAAATTCTTACCGTTCCAATGCAAACATGTGTGTGTGTTAATAGTACAACACTGGACATTTCTGGATTGGTTCATTTCCTGATCGCAAAAGTCCACCCATTTCTTTCACCGCTCATGAGGTTTTGCACACCCCAAACTTATTTTCTTCACACTCTTTTTCTTGAGGTTAAAATTGTAGTTTGTTTGTTAATTACTATTCATTACCCTCTCTAGCTTAGTTGGATGTCCCTATTGTAATTCGACCTATTAGTAGATAAAGCTTCTCCTATTTTTGACTGCAGCAATCGCCAAGAATCAACCAAGTTACCACACCTTGTCAAAAGCTTAATATCCTAAAACGAGTATTCGGGGCTTAATCAAGGCATGTAAATCGGTTTCATATTTTTTTTAAATCTCAAGTGCATACGTCTTTCCATTAAGCTTTTTAAATGATCCATGTAACGAGTTTTAGGCCGATAACTCCCAAATCAGACGACTTTAGGGCACCAGATTTTAAACCCTTGCAGGCTTAATCATTTGAATCATAAAGGCTATGAAGAGACATTTCACGCAAATATTATTTAATTTGTCCCCCTTCGGATTTTTTTATTTATTTATTATTATTATTATTATTATTATTATTATTATTATTATTATTATTATTATTGCAATGATTAGTGCAATACCCCTTATTAAACACTCATTCTCGAAAACCAATCCTTAACTTAAGGTTTTCACCCAATTTTCATCCTGTTGATCTTAGAAAGTCCACACAAAATACAGCACACACAGAAACCACATCACATCCATGTCTCCCTACAGCAGTTTCACCATCTAAATTATCCTAAAGTTGGTCAGGGGATGTGCATTGTTTAGGTTTAACGGTTGTTTAAATTCATCTATGAGGGTCACTAGTTTAACCTATTCCAATTATGAATCGACCCGTTCTTGTTCAACGTTATACTCCATTTTCACGCAGTTAAATCACAATTATCTACAGGGGAAAGTAAAAATCTGACTCAAGCACATAAACTATTTATAATCCACTACCGATTCACATTTCCGAACATATGCATCATTCCCAACAATGTTGTCCAATTCATACAAACATGCAAAATAAAATAAAAAATCTTGTCTTTTTTGAATTAAATGGATATCTGGCACTGCATAGCCCAATATAAGTTTAAAACGTTTTTTTTAATTACCTTCAATTTACTCCCTTTCCCATGTTGAATGTAGTGTTGATGCGATCATATTTGAGCATGTCCCTACAAAAACAAAAAGAAAACGAGATTAGTAAAGTTGCCTAAGAAGAAAAGAAAACGTCTAACTAAGGAAAATAAATTTAGATATAGAACTTGGGTTGCCTCCCAAGAAGCACTTCTTTTATGCCATTACCTGGACGTGATGTGGATTTAATCTGATTCTTTGAGAGCAATTTCTTCCACATATCGATCTTTGAGGCGTTGACTATTTGCCTAAAAAAATGTTCCACCCTTGCTCACCAATTCCACCGAATCGTAAGGAAAAACTTTGCGTATCACGAGTGGCCCTGAACACCGTGATCTAAGCTTTCTTGGAAATAACTTCGGGCGAGAGTTGAATAGAAGAACCCATTCTCCCAGCTTAAATTCTCTCACAAGGATTCTCTTGTCATGCTACAGTTTTGTTCGCTCCTTGTATATAATTGCATTTTCATAAGCATCACTCCGAAATTCTTCCAATTTATCAAGTTGTAACAATCGCTGGGTATAAACTAATTTCATATCCAGATTGAACTTCTTGATTGCCCAATAGGCTCGGTGTTCAAGTTCAACCATCAAGTGACATGCCTTGCCAAATACCAGGCAGTTGGGTGAAATTCCTATTGATGTTTTGAAAGCTGTTCGGTATGCCCACAGTGCGTTATCAAGCTTTTGCGCCCAATCTTTTCGATTTGTGCTCACTGTTTTCTCCTATATTTGCTTAATCTTTCGGTTGGAAATTTCTGCTTGTCCATTTGTCTAGGAATGGTAGCTAAGTGTCAATTTGTGCCTGATATTGTATTCGGCTAAAAGAGAGTTGAAAAGTTTATTACAGAAATGCGTTCCTTCATCACTCACGATTGCTCTAGGAGTGCCAAATCGAGTGAAGATATTTTTCTGCAGAAACTTTGAAACTACCTTTGCATCGTTTGTTGGAGTAGCAATGGTTTCAACCCATTTGGACACATAGTCCACTGTAAGAAGAATGTATACTTGATCGAAGGATGGTGGAAAGGGACCCATGAAGACTATGCCCCATACATCAAATAATTCTACTTTAAGCACATTAGTCATGGGTAGCTCATGATATCTCAGGATATTCTTGGTGCGCTGACAGTGGTCACATGTTTTCACGTAGGCATACAATCTTTGAAAAGAGTTGGCCAATAGAATCCCGATTATAATACCTTGGATGCAGTTCGGGTAGGACCAAAATGACCTCCATAAGGTGTGGAATGACAGTGCTTCATAATTAACTACGTCTTTCATAGGAATACACCTTCTGATTATCCTGTCTGCACATCTCTTGAAAAGCAGAGCATCATCCCACAATTATGACTTTACGTCACGTAAAAATTTCTTATTTTGATGGGAGGTAAAGTTAGGTGGCATTTTTCCACACGCCAAATAGTTGACAAATTTTGCATACCATGGAGTTAGTGTTGAAATTGCCAAAAGAAATTCATCTGGAAAGGTTTCTTGAATCTTTGTCACATTCTCTTTCTCTAGCCGTGAAAGATGATTAGCAACAACATTCTCAGTACCTTTTTTATCCTAAATCTCCGCATCAAATTCTTGTAGTAGCAGGATCTATCGAATCGAGCGTGGCTTAGCATCTTTCTTTTCAAAGAGATAGCGGATGGCGACATGATCTGTGTAGATGATTACCTTAGTACTAATGAGATAGGACCTAAATTTATCACAAGCAAAAACCACTGCTAGCATTTTATTCTCTATTGTTGTGTAATTCAGTTGAGCTTCATTCAAAGTTTTGCTGGCATAGTGAATTGCTTGGAATGTCTTTTCATGCCTTTGTCCTAGAACTATCCCAACTGCATGATCATTAGCATCACACATGACTTCAAATGGTAGACCCCAATCTGGAGCTACCATTACTGGAGCTGTGACCAATTTCTCCTTTATTGCTTCAAATGCTCTTAGGCAACTTTCATCAAACACAAATGCGGTGTCTCTCCCTAAAAGTTTGCACAAAGGTTTAACAATTTTTGAAAAGTCTTTAATAAACCTTCTGTAAAACCTAGCGTGTCCCAAAAAACTTCTAATGCCTTTGACATTGATGGGTGGTGGCAGTTTTGCTATTGTGTCGATTTTTGCTCTATCCACTTCGAGTCCCCTTGCTGACACTTGGTGTCCTAGAATGATGCCTTCTTGTACTATGGAATGATACTTCTCCCAGTTAAGAACTAAATTCTTTTCTTCACAACGTTACAAAACTAGATACATATTGTGAAGGTAATTATCAAAAGAAGTACCAATTATAGAAAAATCATCCATGAATACCTCCATGATGTCTTTTATCATATCTGCAAAGATCGTCATCATGCATCTTTAGAATGTTGTTGGTGCATTGCACAACCCAAAAGATATTTGTCTGTATGCAAAAGTTCCATATGGGCAAGTGAATGTTGTCTTTTCTTGATCTTCTGGTGCAATTGCAATCTGATTATAGCCCGAGTAACCATCAAGAAAATATTAGTGGGAATAGCCAGCTAATCTGTCCAACATTTGGTCAATGAACGGAAGTAGGAAGTAATCCTTTTTGGTTGCCTTGTTATGCTTTCTATAATCAATATACACTCTCCAGCCAGTTACTGTCCTTATTGGAATCAACTTGTTGTTGTCATTCTTAATTACTGTCATCCCGCCCTTCTTTGGTACCACTTGTACCGGATTCGCCTATTCATTGTCTGAAATAGAAATATGAATCCTGCCTTTAGTAGCTTCAGTATCTCTACCTGTACCACTTCTTTCATTGCTGGATTTGATCTTCTTCGGTGCTCAATTGATGGTTTATAGGATTCTCCCATGAGAATTTTGTACATGCATATAGTGGGACTTATACCCTTAATGTCAGCTATAGACCACCCTAACGCTGCCTTGTGTTCTTTCAGCACATTTAATAATCTATCTTCTTCATCCCTGGTGAGTGAGGAAGGGATTATAACCGGATATGCAAAATTTTCCTCCAAGAATGACTACCAAAAATGATCGGGTAGCTGCTTCAATTCGGTCTTAGTACTTTCATTATCTTTATTCTTATCCGGTTCCATTATCTGTTGAATATCTTGATTCTGTGATGATATTCAAGTGCTAATATGTAATCAACTAGGTCCTTGCTGCCCATATACTCTTCTGAGGCGGTAACATCATCCCGTGTTGCACTCATCATCATACAATACTCCAGGTGGTCTTCAGTACATCTTCTTTTACTACAGTATCAATGAAGTCAATTCTGTAGCATGTGTTTGTATTATCTGGAAATTGCATTGCCTGGTAGCTATTGACCTCACCTTTTCTTCATTTACTCTCAAGGTCAACTGACCTCCTTGGACATCGATCAAAGCTCTACCTGTTGCTAAGGTTTGCCTAGGATCAGTGGAATTTCTTAATCTTCTTCCATGTCCAACACTACAAAATCTGCTCGGAAAATAAATTTGTCGACTTTCACCAACACATCTTCAATAATTCCTCGTGGGTAAGTAGGGTTCGATCAGCTAAGTGTAAAGTCATTGTTGTTAGCTTAACTTCCCCGAGACCTAACTTCTTAAATACTGAGAGTGGCATCAGATTTATGCTGGATCCAAGGTCACAAAGAGCTTTATCAAAAGCGGAGTCTCCAATAGTGCAGGGAATGGTAAAGCTACCTTGATCCTTCCTTTTCTGAGGGAGCTTCTTTTGAAGAATTGCACTGCATTCTTCTGTCAACTTCACCGTTTCGTATTTTTCTAATTTCCTTTTCTTTGAAATCACCTCTTTCACGAACTTTGCATAGTTTGGCATTTATTCTAAAGCATCGGCAATTGGGATGTTAATATGAATCTTCTTGAAACTACCCAAGAATTTGGAAAAACTGCGCATACAATTTCTTCTTTTGAAATCTTTGTGAAAATGGAAGTGTGGGCTTGATGATTGATGGTTTATTAGAGAAGGATATAGAATAAGGCTTGTAATCCTTCCGTGCTTCTTTGATCTGATTTTCCTATGTTGCATTTGGTTGTTCTTCATCCTTGTCAAAGGTAGCAGTAGTTTTTTCTGTAGGCATATTTTCTCCAATTTCCTTATCACTCCTTAATGTGATGGCCTTGCAATGTTCATTCGGATTTATTTCTGTGTCACTTGGAAACTTTCCCTGTTGCTGAGATTTCACTGATGTAGCCAACTGCTCGATCTGAGCCTCAAGATTTTTCATTGTAGCTCCCATTTGGACACATGAGTTTTGATATTATCCAACCTCAACTCATCTTTGTTGAATTGTGATCTTGTCTCAAAGATGAAAGTTCCAAGAATGTCTTCTAAAGATGCCTTTCCTTCAGAGTGCTGATTGTTGAATTTCGGTGGAGGTTGAAGTGTGTTTCTGTTGTTTCCATATGAAAAATTTTCATGGTTTCTCAGTCCTGGATGATAGTGATTAGAGGAATAGTTATCCCTCTTATTAAAATTCTTGCTGTTGACATATTGAGCTTGTTCGTTCACTATTTCTGTCTCCGAATGAACTGAGGAAGTGGCCATAATTGAATATGCTTTTTGGTGATTTCCTTGCATAGTAAGTGTAGCTATCTAATTGGTAAGTGATGACACTTGAGATGCCAATGCAATAATGGGATCTACTTCATGCATACCTGCTACATTCTTTGTTCTTGATCTTTCAGTTAGCCATTGATAGCAATTTGTAGCTATGTCATCCAACAAGGAATATGATGCTTCTGCTGTTTTAGTCATTAGAGTTCCTCTTGCAGCTGCATCCACAATAGTTCTGGTATGCCCATTTAGCCCATTGTAAAAAGTCTCAATTTGCATCCAATTCTGATAACCATGCTAAGGACACCGTTTGAGCAAGTCTTTAAATATCTCCCGAGCTTCATAGAACGATTTAAAATCAAATTGCCTGAATTGACCAATTTCACTTCTAAGTTGAGCCGATTTAGAAGGAGGAAAATACTTGGTGATAAATTTATGAGCAGATCATCCCAAGTAGTGATAGAGTCATACAGTAGTGATTGGAACTACGATTTAGCCTTATCTCTCAAGGTGAAAGAAAATAAATGTAGCCTAATCGCATCTTTCGTAACTCCATTCATTTTTATTGTACCACAAATCTCCAAAAATGAGCATTTGGATCTTCTGTAGAACTTTCCCCAAACTGGTTCTGCTGAATCTTATGTATGAGTCCTGGCTCCAGTTCAAATTGTTTGCTGCAACGGCGAGGCGTGCAATACCAAAGTAGTTATCATTGACGATCGGTCTGACACAGTCTCGAATAGGCTATGGTTGATTGTTTTCTTGAGCTACTCTTGCATCATGTTATACCATTGTTTCGCATTTGTCCCTATGTAAACCCCTTAGAAAACAAATGTGCATTCTATTCAGGATCAATAGGCAACAGACCAGGATTTCTCGCCCTTCACATAAATAACTGAAAATGAAAACAAGGGGATTCTTGGAAGTAGAAATAAAATTAACAAAGTAACAAGAAAATCCAAATTAAGCAAAGTTAATTGGTAATATATCAATAGAAGTCAATCTAAACAATCCCCGACAACGGCGCCAAAAACTTGCCACGCGTTTTATGCAACGTGGTTTAATCGCAAGTGTACGGTGTCAAGTTTTGTAATAAAGTGATAGAATTCAAGTGTCGAATCCACATGGATTGATGTTTGATTCCTATTGAATACTATAATTATTTTAATTTCTACTTTATTTAGAAAACCAATTTTTGACTTGAAGTGTTCATGCTAAATTAATATGTTGTGGATTAAATGGCAATTCAAACAACTCAAGATGAAATATATAAAAGTAATCAATGCAAAGAAGTCTAGGGAATGATTTCATCGCCCTATTAACAATGCTTTTCAATCTCTATGATTATTTCTCCAAATTTTTCTCAATTTATAGGCAAGAATCGTAAATTAATCAGATTCCCTCTCTTGAGTGCCAAATAGAATTTACTTCTATACTCTAACCCCAATATCTCTATTCCAAATTAGATCTATAAAAATATTAAATCCTTGGTTCTTGATTTGAATTAAGCCTTAAAGAATTCGTACTTTCTCTCGAAATCCACGAAATCTAAGTTATATTATTCTTATATCAAGATTAAATCTCTCATTCTCAAGTGCTGAAATTCAGTACATCAAATCATTTAACCATTGATCAGGTGATTGAAAGCAATAAGTACGAATAACGTAAATAAATGCTGAAAAATTAGAGAAATACCATATTAACATCCAAACATTGTATCAAGTTGGGTTACATCAACCCTAGATCTAAGGTTTTAGTTCATAATTGATGAAAATAACAATTTAAAATACAGAATAATGAGCATGTAGAAGAAGGGATTAGGAAAAACTCAGTTGATGCTTTAAATCTTCTCCCAATGACTGTAGATCTACATCTTTGAATAGCTTTTTCTCTTCTTTTTGCCTTGAGTCTTCTCTCTCTCTCTCTCTCTGGTTGCCTTGAGTCGTTTTTCCAATGCCAAGATTCCTCCATTCGGTCTTCTTCGTGGTATTTATACTTTCCAAAAGTTCAAGACGAGAAGGATCAAATTTGGGCCAAGAAAAATGCAACTTTCCTTTTTTTTTTTTTTGCGTCGGGCGCCGCAACCGCTGTGACATTTCCTCCTGCTAATGCTGCAGCGCCCAGGTATGACGCCGTGACGCCAGCCTCTCTACTGGCTTATGTGTGCTGGGCGCCGCTACACCTAGGATATGGCGCTGCGGCACCAACACCTCTACTGGTTGCTTCTTCATTACTTGGCCAATGTGGCGCCCACGTCAGGCACTGTGGCACCGGATAGACTACCCCTTATTTGGATTTTTCATCTTCAACATTGCGTTTCCACTTCAATTTTTCTTTTCTTATTTCCAGTTCATGCTCCAATTTTTCGATCCCCATTTTAGCTCCATTATAAGCTCCAGAGTGTGGCATTTTTTCAAAAGTTGTCTAAGTTGCAAAACAACATGAAAACCCGCATCAAAACGTTCAAAAGTGTTCAACGACAACCCGAAAACTAAGATTTAAATGTGCTAAATTGATGAGTGAATTGCACTCATCACATATCGTACTAAGAGGGATCGATGTTGAGCGAGGTTTGTAAATCACGGTACATTTCTTCATACGATGTACTCAACGTTATCACAATTCCAGTAACATCATCTTCTTCACTCGTCCATTTCCATTCTCCGTTGACCATTTTCATTCCTTTCAAATTTACCAAAGTACTAAATGGGGGACACATGCTGATTCCATATTAGCATTACGAATCACAAATAAAAAAAAATTATATGGGTGTTGGGAAAAAAAGTCGACTATCCGAGCAATTTATTAACAGACGACCCAGAAGGGCAGGCAATTTGTTTACTGTTGGCCCTGCCAAGCGGGTCGTCTATTTACAGACAACCGATTTTATAGAAGTTCTGAACAGTCGAACGTTCGAGCTATCTATTTACAGGCGCTAGCTGGTCCGTCTGTTCACAGACGGTCATGAATCTGTCTGAAAGAATGTAGTAAGCAGATGAATTTTGTTCTCATTTTTGTTTGACAAAATTATTGATCTTTTTAATGAAATAAAATAAAAAATTATCTACTTGCTAACATATTTTGAAATAAGATTTGACGATTAGAAAAATATACTATTTAACAAAAATGAAATTAAATATATACTTACCAATTCAAATTGATGGATATAAACAAGATTTCTTTTATCGAATGTTTGATAAATTTATGAGATTTTAAGGTTAAAACAGATGAAAAAATGAAAGAGTTTTTATAAATGTTGGAAAAAACATATAAAAAAGTGTCTTAATTTTGAAATTTTAAGTAGGAAGTGTTTGATTTTTACATTGTAATTAAAATGATATTATTGTCTTTTGAATAAAATCATATTTGTGTGATTTAATAACATTTTTAAGGTATACTTGTCTTTTAATATTCAATTTAAGAAGTAGCTAGCTCCCATTGCGAAGCCTTGTTCTATGGAAGGGCTACGGGACTTATAGCGAAGCTTGCAGGTTACAACTGGGATTCGATTAACATCTCAACAGCTAAAAACAATTTTTCCTGCATAAAATAATCGAAATCTCTAATTATTTGTTAGCTGTTTCATTTCTTGACGTTCTTTTCGTTTCTTTCTCGCCAAGTAATTTTTCTTCAAGTTTACATCTTTCATATCCGCATAACTGAATAGGTTTTCCACTCCAGTCGACTCTGCAGATTCACCATGTCTTCCCCTGCTGAGTAATTACTTTTTTCTACTCTCGCGCGCTATACATTTTCGTATGTGTGTGTAAGCGTGTATCTATTAATTAATGCAAGTTTTTGCTCCCGTTTTGCAATTGATTGGTTTTGCTGCGGTATACTTCATATTTCTGGATTGGGGTATTTGGTGATTGACTACTTTGTAGGTTAATTCCTTTTTTTGGGGTCAGGTAACAGAATATGGAGTCCATAGCGTTCATCAACACCAGCAAGCAGAAAGCAAAGCATGTCAGCTGGACTTAAGTTGATATGCTTTGCTTGCTGCTTGCTGGTGTTGATGAACGTTATGGACTCCATATTCTGATATTAGGAATTACGATTGTCAGTTTTTTGGAGATTAAAATGGTTAAGAGTGAGTTTACTTTCTCATAAAATGATTACTCTTTCAAGTTCTGATTATAGACTTGAGAGATGGGCCTAAATATGATAATTGAAATATCTTTATGATATCAAAAGGTGGTTCTTAAGAAGGAAGTTTTGGATATTCAGGGATCAGCTGATGTAACAAGATTATGGTTTCAAGTTCTTGGAATGGAGAGAGAAAATTCTCATTGTTGGAAATTTTAATGTACACGAGAAGATTAGTTGATTACCAATTATTAGCGAATATACAAAATGGCCTTGTTGCTGCAGTGCTGGAAATGATTGTCGTATTCTGTTTGATCTGCAGTTCTTGGATATTAGTATCTTGGGAAATGTTGTGCCTCCCTGGTTCTTGGATATTGGCGTATAACTAGATACGTTGGCTTTTTGTTAAGGATATTCCAAGGTGATCTATAAAAGCAACACTTGAATGACCTTATTTAGTATTTAATTATTAGTCCCTTGATGTGTCGGAGTTAATTGGTAGAAACTCATGATGTTAAATTTGCTAGCTAAGATTGATGCTTCAATTCAATTTTGTAGGAGTAGAAGTTAGGTAGTATGTCTTAAATAGTTTATCCTAATATTACACATCTTGATAGCTATATAAGAAGAACAGAGGAACTTGGTCTCTAGAAATTACTCGGTTGTACTTGATGGTAAAGAATCCAAGTTACTTCATTGTGAAATCACGACGCTATGTAGAGTATTAGAGTGAACCTAGTAAAGGATATATTCTTAATCTACAAAGCATAGATATCAATGCACCATGGAAACCTGATGTGAATGCTTCAAACATGTAGAACATGAACACGTCCGTTAAATATCTCGATAGTATGCATTTATAAATTGGATCTTTATTTTAATAAAATTTATTTTAAAAATAAAACTAACAATGTTTTAGCTTTTGAGGTGAATTGACTTTGAGTGATATATTAAGATAACTACGGGTTCGGCTTTGTATTAATGGTGCTAATGAAAAAAGTATTCATGAATCCAAAAGTGCATATACTATCATTAAAACAAATTTACAAAACTCGTACAATTTGTCTCACACTATTTTGACTTTCTTATATAAATGTTCAATGATTAATTATCCCTCATTTCTCAAGTGACGATGGGAATGAAATCCCGATCGTCTTTATTCTCGTCTGATGTTCTTGTAAGCATTGGTGGTCTACGTATGTTTAATCACGTATAAGGAGAGGTCGAAACTCTCCTGCGCTTGTAGGATAAAGACGAGGTGATGTTTTTCTCTACGCTTGTGGTTTACTCTGATCCGATCGAGGTTTTTTTCCCTTCCTATAAATAGAAAAAAATTGGATACGATAGAAGAAAGAAAAACAATGTACCGAAATTCACAAACTGGAACTCTTGTCCTTGACATGTAGACCTGTGTCCTTGCCATGTGTTGTGTTGGGGCATTCCCTTGAGTGGAAAAAAGTACATATATGGTAAGACTTTCCATGTGCCATGTTGGACATTTGTCCTGGTATTTGATTTTCAAAACGTTCGAGATTTAGATACTTTACCATGGGGGAGTGTCTATGCATCAAAAGTTCATAAATAAATTCATCAATGTTTGTGTTTCTTTTCCCTTGAATAATGAGCCTATCTTTTTCACTATATTTTTTGATTACTTTACTACTCTTCCATAATTCTACTAAAAACTAGCCCTTTGACTTGAGAAACAGCTTTGCATTTTTGTGTTAGTTCTGTGAGTCCTTTCATTGGATATTGAAGGGTTTAAATGGTTGTACCTTATCCCCATAAGATTTCTGGTATATGATTGACCATAAATTTTTGTAGAATATAGATGTTTGATTTACCTTGTTTAACTACATCCCTTTGTTTTCTATTTCAGGCTTTACAATTCACTTCCACCGATAAGTAAAGCATACGGGACAGCATGTTTGTTAACTACTATTGCATGTCAAATTGGGTTTCTCCAACTTGATCACATTGCATTGTGTAAAGATTTGGAGTCTATCTTAATAAGGTCAACTTTATTAAGAGGAGTAGTCCAAAATCTATTTAAATTGATCAATATTTCGATATTTAACCGATGTGGGATTTATTCCCTTAACATGCCCCCGCAAGATGGTGGCTCTTTTTGAGCAGACTAATCTTGAAATCCGTGTGCTCATTTTTGAGACTTGATTGGATCGAATAGCTTGTTGGAGTTTACTGGACTCTGATACCATGTAGAGATTTGGCGTCCATCTTAATAAAGTCAACCTTATTAAGAGGAGTGGTCCAAGATCTATTTAAATTGGTCAATATTTCGATATTTAACAGATGTGAGATTTATTTCCTTAACACATTGCTCCATGAGCTAGTGATCTTTCGTTTTCAGGTAAACATTTTATTTATTTCTGAACCATTCTACAGTAATGCTAATGGATGGTTAATTTTAACATAAACTGTTTGTACTTACGGCTCCTATTTATTCCTTGTCGCTCTGGGAAAGTTGATAAATACCAATATTGATGTAGGACAATCCTAGTAAAAATAGGATAGAAGAATGTAGACTATCCTATTACAAATAGGATATAAATTATTTATTATTATAGTAGTATTTCAACTTTCTTGTTTAGAGTATGATTTCTTCTTTCTCGTTAGAATAGGATATTATTTTCATTTACTCCTTTTAGGATTTTAATTAGTATTAAAAGATTATTTTGCTTATATAAACAAAGATTTTGTACACTTTTTAACTAATCGAATTTTCAATACAATCAAATTATTCTTACAAATTCTTCGAATTTTTTATTTTTCTTATTGTTTAAAGAGATAAATTGCTCTTCCGCAACATAATTGATATCAGAGAAAAATTTTCCATTCATTGATGGCTAACTATGGTATTGGTATGCATCCTCACAATAATGATCGGAGGATTGCAAATTATCAACCTTGGTCCATAACCTTAAATGAAGGATGGATAGGTTTGAAACAAGGCTAATTTATCTTCTTTACCAAAATTGATATTAGAGCAAAGTTTGTCCTTGCTCATAGCTACATATGGTGGTAATGGTATGTATCCTCGTGACAATGATCGGAGGATCATAAATTATCAACCTCGGTCCACAATCTGGAATCAAGGATGGATAAGTTCAAAGATGCTAATAAGTATTTGTAGATTGACTGCTACGAATGTTGGTTTCTTTTGCAAGCTTAAAACACAGTAACAGGTGACTAAAGTTATTCCTTGGGTCCTAGCTTGGTTTGAATACTCAAGAGTTATCAAAGATTTTGCATAAGTCTACTAAGAGATTAAAGGAGCCCAATTTGAAGCACGGCAAGAATTTTAGAACACGATGCATCATCAACAACAAAGTATGTAATATCATAATAGATAATGGGAATAGTGAGAGCGTGGCATCCGAAGTATTGGTGAAAGCTTTAAATTTGAACACTGAAAAATACTCATCTTGCTATTAAGTTTCACTAACTAAAAGGGAGCAAGAAATTCAAAATACGGAGATAAGCAAAATTTTACTTTTTATAGGAAAGTACTACAAAGATGAGATCGTGTAACATCATAGAGATGGACAATTGTCATTTACTTGGGGAAGACCATGGTACTATGATGTAGATGCCACTTACATATGTCGAGATAACATATATGCGTTTTCGTAGTACAATAAGAAGATTATTTTGATGTCTCATGATGTAATTTGTGAATATCAATGTAAATATAGCAATTTATAAGGTAGATGATGAGGTTGAGAAAGATGTCATTTAAGATTATCTGGATGTCGTGACCATTATATTACAATAGATGTAGGAAAGCATGTGCAAGTTGAAAACTCAAGATGTTGATCCCCAATGCGTTGAAGTTGACAATGCAAGCACGAAAATGAAAAATATTTTGCTCAAATAGCAATTCAAGACTCCAAGCTCGAGCCACATAACGAACAAGTTGAAGTTCAGATGCAATGAAATTAAAGAGAATTGTTCCCAATTTTGAAGAAGTCAAATGTGAGGCTTGTTAAAATAGAAGTTCTGTTGACCTTCTTTACGATCTCAATGCCTATGAATTATATAAACATGAGGAAAATAGGGACAATATGGATCTAAGATCCCATGCCAGTTCCTTTGTATTGAAGATGGCATCTTTGAATATTACAACAGTAGATTGAGAAATATGAAGAATGAAAAATATTACTAACAGCCAATATAAAGTGCATTCTAGGATGAGAAATTAAACCATGCATTGTTTCCACAGGAATATCATGTTGAAATTGCCCATCAGGAATATAAAATGAGTAAGATAGGAGCAAAGTTGACTTCAAACAATCCAATACATGAATATAATGGCATTTTATCAAGTATATCGAGGGATGGTATTTCTTCAATATTAGTTATGGTAGAAAATTTTGAGTATTTTCTTTCGGATTGATTGATTTTTTCTTCTCATGCTAAAAGTCATCAACTTTTTAGTTGAAAAGTAACTTTCCTTTTTAAGCAATATATACCAATGAAATTGTCATTATGTCCCTAAAGCCATCGACCCTCTTATATTTTGAAAGCAGCCTTTTCCACAGAATGTCATGCATGCCGTGAACCCTCCCCAAGCCATAAACCTTCCATGTTCGATCTTCCAAAAAAATTCCTAAGTTTTCTTCTATAAAAATAAATAAATAAAAAATAAAGAAATTTAACAATTGGCGACATGCCGTGTACTATTTTGAAAAATTGTTAGTCGACGTGTCTGTTGGTACTTCCTTAGTTGTTTTGCTATTTGTGGTTTCTATTTTTGTTACTTATTTCGTTGTAGCTTTAGCATAGAAATTTGTTATAACTTGGGGTAGGTCATGCTAAAACAAAGTTATACTAGAGCTAATTGTGTAGAAATATTTTGCTGTACATAGTGTGCTCCATCAATTTGATTTTTGATGAAGCAAGAAATTCTACTTTACTGTCCTTCCCTAGTGAGCTTTTGATTAAGTTGAGTGCAACAATTGATTGGGATGTGAGGCTCAAGAAAATAGTGAGAGAAAGGGAAGTGCCACGAGTTAGATATGAAAGGGGTTATTGAAGCTCGATAGCAACGTGAAGAGTTTATGCATAAACGGGAGATCGATAAGGTTCCACTAGAGGGTCCTCATATCATAGTGTTGAGCCTTCTTTTGGAAAAAAATTATAAATTATTTAATTGTAAGTAAATAAAATTGATTGGTGAATACTAATTGTTGGTCAATTAAAATATGTTGTTGAAATAAATTGTGACCATTTATAAATGATTATAAATTTGCCAACTGAAGGCTGAAAACGGATGGAAAGGCATAGTAGTTTAATATAAGGTCAAAACCCAATGACTTAAGGTTTTAGATACAAGTTGATTTCTACATAGGAATGGAATTTATAAATTATTTAATTGTAAGTAAATAAAATTGATTGGTGAATACTAATTGTTGGTCAATTAAAATATGTTGTTGAAATAAATTGTGACCATTATAAATGATTATAAATTTGCCAACTGAAGGCTGAAAACGATGGAAAGGCATAGTAGTTTAATATAAGGTCAAAACCCAATGACTTAAGGTTTTAGATACAAGTTGATTTCTACATAGGAATGTGAAAGCCCCACTTTCTAAAGGGGTTCCGTGTTTAATGGACATACTCCTAACTGTTTGGTTTAGTGTTTGATTACATTAGGCCCCCGTTTGGTGGAAGTTAAAATCAGTTTTGTTGTAGATTTTGATAAAAGTTGATGAAATGTGTGGTTACAAAATTTTGTGGGTCCATAAAATATGGGCTAAAATTAATTATTAACTTTGACTTAGATTAAAATCTAGGCCCCCATTTGTTTTCCATTTTTTAGTAAGAATGCATTTTGAAATAGTTAATTAATAAATGTGTGGTTAAGAAATAAAAAAAAAAGTTTTAGTTTTGTATGTAATATTATTTTATTAAAGAATGTGTGGTTTAAAAAAAGAGACAGAAAAATGTATTTTGAGAAAAATGAGTATCAAACAAGGGTTAGATTTTAATCCATACTAAACATGGGTTAGATGTCATTTCCTCTCTGCACTTCTATCATGATGTGACAAAATAAGAGTATTTGACCGAGAAAACTTGTTCAAGGGCATATCATGAGCGATGGGGGAACATCCTATTAGGTGTGGCGTGCTCTTCTAGCCAAACACGGGAACAAGAAAAGAAGTATAAAACCGTTTTATTTTAATCCAATTTTGGATAAACTTAACCACCATTTCACACCACTCTCTCCTACGTCCTTGTCTCTCATGGCTAGACTATGCTAACTCAAAAAGGTTTATGTAAGAGGGTGCCACTCCAAATTTCTCTTATTAAGGTACCAATCTTCAATCCTGACTAATGAGTTTATTGATTTATTTAGTAATATTCTGAGTATGGCACCTCTTGAGCAATGTGCAAGTCATTGTGGATTTTGAAAATAACGACAAAATGAGAGAAATAGCATGGTTTATGAAATTATAACCAAGAATTTGCTTGTTAAAGGCTTGAGTATGTTCCAGCATTTTAGACTAGTCATTTTGCTGAAAATCGATGTCCTTGTAAGTTTGTTTAAACCTGGTTCCATATCTTTAATTATAATTGTAATTTTCATGATTCATTGCGGCATCACGTTTCATCTCTTTGGAATGTCAACTGCTAGAGCATGTACAAGTATTATTTTGAAAGCCCAAATAAAAGATAATTGGAAGTGTATTTGATGCAGGACGAATTAAAGAATATAAAGAAGAAGCAAGAAGGGAAGGAGAAACCAGAGAGAATGGGGAGGAGAAACTAGAGAAGAGGGAGAAATCAGGGAGGAGAAAGAAGCCATAAGCAACAAACCATCAAAATATTTTTCAATTCATCAAAACTAATGAAGTTACATAGGAAATTAGGTTTAAATAGTAAAGAGAAAACCCTAACCAGAACGGGTTTGGGCCAATACAAACCCAATTACATAAATAAGAATCCAAAATTAAAATAAAGTCCAATTAGAAACAAATAGAAATAAATAAAATAGATGATGTCCTCATCAATTCTCTCGGGGTGGGAGAAAAATTCAACCTTGTCGAGTTGATAGATCACTGTAGGCTACAATCAATCTGAAACTCCAAATGCTTCAAGTCAAACCACGGGGGAAGATCTTTCTGACGAACCAAGTATCAAAATTCCATGATTGATAGTACTGAAAACTGTAGCGTATTCACAAGAATATGATATGGCCAAGGGGACGGTCTTTCCTTCTAAACAAGTACTGATACTGGACGCCAAATAACCAATACTCATGCACCTCATCTTCAGACTTTTCACATGATTGTACATAATGAGGAGCATAAGAAGTACGTTGATCTACCCAAAAAAAAAAAAAGAAAT